AGCATCGTACGAAAAAATGTAATTCTACATTTTTTACTTATTTTTACACGTAGAATGATCTCTCTTGTTCGTTTGTACCGTTCGTCCTCTCCTACATTGTGTACAATCCGTAAAGTCGGGGAAGAAAGAATAAAGGTGGAAACGGAAAAACTTCGTCGGTGAGACGCAAAACATACCCGGATTCTTACGGAAGTTCGATTTCTGGAGCGGAGAAACTAAAGTTTTTTCGGAAAGCCTCGTCCTGTCGCGTCAATTCACTCGGGGACGAATTTGACCTCGGGAATAATGTCGATCTAGAGATTAAGGGAGACCACCGGATTCAAAGCGTATTGACCGCGTTCGCGTCGACTTCGCCATTAAAGCGTCTGGCGGAGTTTGGCTGCCTAGAACAGATTTCTTTTGGCCGGTCAAATAAAGGGCCGAGGCGATCTACGGAGGGATCGAGAATTTTTTAACGATCGTGACTTTCGTCGGATCGACGGGGAAATGTTTGCTCATGTTACGTTTCCAGACCCTCTTTGGGGTCCTTTTTGATCAACTTTCTTTGGTCGTCTACCTCTGAAATGTTATTGGCCGACATTTCTCGATTCTCCTTTCGTTCTTTTGAATTTCTTAGATCGCCAGTATTCTTGATTCCACGGACTTTCTTTTGGTTAACTTGTTCTGGTCCTTCGTTGATCAACTTGGGACACTCGCTTTGAAGTCTTCTGATCACTTCTGTTTAGTTTCTCTTATCTCTATCTGTGGCTGCTCTTTCTTAAGCTTCTCAATTGTGTTTGAATACTTTGCTTTAACATCGTCGACTGTCTCTGGCTATTATTTCTGAACTCTCTCGACCATTTCTGTCCACTTTCAACTCGACTGCTTTGACTGTCTTTTATGACTTTCTGTAAAGTCTCTTGGCCATCTTGGCTATTTGTTTTTTAGCCCCCTGGCTATACTCAACTAGTCTGCCTTAATTTCTTTCCCTTCAGTTAGTTAGTCTTTCTAAACAGTCTTGATCATCTCTGCATACCCTTCTTTCATCAGCTTAGTAGTCCATGTTTGGCTAGTATTAATCGGCTGTTTTGATTGTCTTTAATCGCTCGTTATAAATTGTTTGGGGTTGTTTGGCAACTCTTTCGTAACTCCGACTACATTCAGTTAATTTGTCCTGGTTTCTTCACCTCTTTTCAAGTATCCCTACCTACTCCCTTGACCATCATTAGCTACCCTTTTTTTTACAAATTGTTCTTGATTCTCTTGACCATCTTCGACTATCCTTTAGCCACCCATACCGAACTCTCTTAAGTATCCCCTAAACTCTCTCGGCAGTATTTTCCAACACTCACCCCGAACTTCCTCAACTATCTTTTACTAGCTATCTTAAACTTTCTTGGTCATCTGTAGCCAACTTTTCGTAGCCATTAGCCACCAGTCGACGATCTCTTACCCCATCCTCGATCGTTCTTCCTAAGCCAAGCTTTCAATATCAAAACATCATCAGAAACAACTTAACACTGAAAAATCCAATTATCAATTGTAATTTTTAATACTCGTTGCAATTATAAACGACATTTCCATTACCTATGCGATCTGACGTCCAAAAACGGTTGCGAACACCATTCCAACAATTTCGTAGCTTCTACCACCTTACGATATTCTGTTTTTGACAAGCTTATACAAATGGCTTCCAAAAACAATTGCAAACTTTCAAGAACAATCACAAACCTATGCAACTAACTCCCAAAAAGGCTTGTAAACACGATTCCACCCATTTCGTAGCTTCACCCTCCTAGGATATTCTATTCTCGACAAGGCTATGCAACAAACAGTCAGAAACAATTGCAAACTTTTAATAACAATTGCAAACCACAGTGGTCTATGTAATTAACGTTCGAAAACAGTTGTAAACATAATTGTAACTAACAATTTCGTAGCTTCTACTACCTTAGAATATCCTGCTCTCGACAAGCCTATGGTAACAAACTCTCGAAAACAATTCTAAACTCCATTACACCTGTTTTCGATTAATTTTCACCTGATTCTGTTTTCGACAAATTCCTCCCCCAGGTATGACGAAATCTAGAGGGACTAACGGAGGAGCTCGATCGTTTTTTTTGAGGTATTTAAAATCCGCGTCTGAAGACGGGCATCCGGAAGCGATATCCCGGCGAGGCTTTTTCTGGAAATGCGTTTCAGGCTTGTGGTATAAAAGAAAATGAAAAATATCGATCGGGCGGGGGCCGAATTGACGCGTTATCCGCGTCGTGTGTAGCCCCGGCACATTGTATTACGGCGAAGGAGCTGCGCATTCATGTTCCCCCGAATATGTGAAGTCTGCTTCGATTTGATTCGATTCACCGTCTCTCGTTCCCCCGGTCTCTCCCCTCTGTCCCCAATAAATATGTATATATATACTCGGTGCCCTTTGATCGGTGATAAAGGGCGCATCGAATTCGGAGCGTACGTGTGAAATCATTTTGAGGCGTGTTATTTGATATTAATAATAACAATGAAGTCTGTCTATATTATGAATGCAGGGTGTCATGAAGAAAACGTTACCATTTAGTTTCTTTTAAATAATTTCTGAATGAAACAATTTAAATATGGGGTAAACGTACTAATGAATGAACACTTAAGAGATATTGTAATTATTAATGTCAAATTTTGATTGATAATAATATTAATAAAGATTCGATTTTATAATACATATTTTGTCACGTACAGATTTCTATTTGAAAAATTGGAAAAGTGTAATTAATTAAATTAAAAAGAAAAAGTACAGATTTCATGAGTGAATGAGCAATATTAAGTAAATGAACATTTCTAACTAGTGGCGCGAAAATTATTTGAATATGAAACAAGGAATTGAAAAAATTTATATTTAATCATTTGCTTATTTTAATAACTTAATTTATATTTATCTTTTTTTTATCAACAGACTGTAGTTACAATAACGAAATTGTAAATGTTTTTCCTTTTAGGAATTTCGATTTGTTCTGTATTATTTAAATCCTTCGATCGCTATCGTTCAAACGAGATGAATATTCTAAAGACTTATAATTCGTCTACCAAACGAACCTATTGGAATGGTATATTGTAAACGCTTGTAATAATATAATTGCATCCGTGCAATTCCAATAGTAAATATTCTTCCCTTTTAGAATTTAATCTGTCTCGTTTAATTTTATATCCTCCGATCCACACTGACAGGAGCATAATAATTTTCCAAACAGTAATCACTTAATGTCATTCTCGAGGCGCATGAAAATTAAACGGTCCCTTTAACCGAACGAATGTATATGCATACACACACGTACACACTTGGAAATTATTAATGCCCCGTAAAAGCGCGGGAGATGTGTCGGTATCGCGTTACATTTTTAATTAATTCCGCCAAACGAGCCGTCGAAATAATCCGAAAGGTGAGCGCGAACCGGCCTGGGATAATTCGATTAATATACCTGGTACGATTGAATAATTAACAGAATCGAATCGATGCACACGTTGGGAGAATTATTCGATCGTTTTGTCGTGAGTCTTGCGTTTTTCAGTGTATGGATAAATTCGATTCGACGAATCTACATTTACGAGTAAACTCGGCTTCCGCTGGAGGAAAAAGTGGCGTAGGTGAAAACCTCCTACCCCTTTGATCTTGGGAGTTACTGAAATTTAATTTATGTTAAATTAACATTCGGTTTAACATTTATTTCAGCACTTGAAATAAATAAGTGGTAGTCCATTCAAAAAAATTCATAGATCCTTCCATTCAAGGTTAAACGGATACGACCATTCAATAGAGCTCTTGAAATCTTAAAGTTTTTATCCAAAACATTTTTTTGTCAAAAATGCTTTACTTCTGAGGTATTCAACCGTTCCGGAACTTTCGGAGGACCCTGTACATTCTTTAATCACGGGAAAAAATGAGCGTGCCATATAAATCGAGCGATTGGTGTATAGGTACAAAATAAACGAATGAAACAGGCAAGGTTCAACGTTTCCGCTGCCACGGAACTACAGATGGCGTGAACTGCTATTACTAAATCACGAGTTATTCGATCACGTTCGTTCCATATCATTGTGATTTTTTACAGTGATTCATGAGTTTTGTGATTGTTTCTGATTTTGTTGAACATAACAACAGTTCTTGCACGCGTCACATAACCTGCATATTGACGACATCGAAACAAAAATACGAGCTAAATCGTATAAAGTAAAGTAATATGTAATGCGGTACAATCAAGAATAATGAATGAATTAATGATTATAAATTCTAACCGATATATTACGTAACATATATGCTGCATAATTATAGCAAATCATTGTTTTATACTTTCCTTCTTTCTACTCATTTTTGAAAACATGAATAGTAATGTAGAATTCATTTTGAAACCTTATTGAGTTTTTTTTTAAAGATCAAGAGTTACGATCACCGTGAGCCAATTCACTAAAGATAAAAAAATCATCTGTGATAAATCAATGTTAGTGATTTTGCATACCATTTCTACACGTAACCAAAACAGATTCGCGTGTTCGACTCATACAGAAGATCAAAACAATCGAATGCGTGTTTCGACAGTGAAACACGATCGAAGACGTTGGTGTCGCGAGGTTAAAATATCTCGATGGATTTTCCGGCGTATCGGAACGGCCGGTCCTCCGGAAGATCGGCGGAGTAACGGTGGTGAGACCACGTAAGAATGGCGTCCGACCGCGATTTATGTTCTGTTGGGGGGGAGGAAACACACCGCATAACGATGATGTCCCGTGTTACGATCGCAATTTCACCGGCCATTAGCTCCGGTGTACACGATACATCCTCTGCGTGGTGCAACGGTTCTTTTTTTTTTTATTAAGAACTACATACACGGAAAATGCTGCACGCCGCGTCGTTACTTTCGACGGGAACGATACTGCGTTGATCACGAGAGTAATTCCGTAAATAACAAAATCGATAACGAAAAAGAAAGAAAATTCAACGGAAGTGAATATTCATTGTTCTTTTATGTCTGTTGCAGGTGACCGTCCAATAGCGGTGCTTCTACAGACAAAGCCTACGGTGAGTCAGTTTTTCAAAATGATTATTTAGAGCTTTTTATTTTCACGCGCCCGTAGACAGTATTGCATAAACAATCTTAGATCGCCTACCACAATCTATATTACATAACCCTTTTACGCCCAGACCCTTAAATCTTTATTTGAAAATTATGAGACTGATACGTATCTTGTTATTTTGAAGTGGACAACATCGATATTAAGCAAAACCGATTTTTTTATTTTTTCTTTTTTTATTTATTTTGGGAGGGAATACTTCTTAACTTAAACATTAGATTTTGTAATTTTTATAGATCGCAGCATGAATGATCTCATGACTCACGATCATCCCTCCGTCATTACATCGTTATAAAATGAATTTTGGTTTCCTTACTTTTTAATTCCCACCATACATCGATACATGTTTTCCTCCATTAATAACTCTAACCATAGGGAGCGACGATCACACGATCCTACAAGAACACAAGAAAAAAAGATTTCTTGGAGTTGGGGGGCACGATCCGTTTCTCTGCCCATTAACTTTTCACTCGCGCATTTTTTTCACCCTTCGACGCTCATAAACGTTCGCGAGCCCAGATGTTGCCCCCGCCCCTGAAAGCTCGACCCCGGTAATTGCTCGGGGGCGCTGGAAGGATGGGAGGGCGGCGGTGGAGTCGAAGAATTGGCCAGTTGAATCTTACGCGAATAACTCATCCAGGGGGGTGATGGGTTGGGGAATGGTGGACGGGAGGGAACGTATATCCCGGTGCAAAAAGGTGGGATGCCCGATGAGGGAGCGGAAATTGCTCGAACAAATTGAAAAGCGCGGACGCGCTTCCCCATTAGGCCGAACGAGCCGAGGGCACGATTTTACGGACCACCGGAATTATACTTTCAAAAAGCGGTTCGCGAGGGCACATCGACGTCGGATCAGCTTGCTTCAGTCAAAAACCTGAATAATTTTTCCTCGCCTTCCTCTTCCCCCCCCCCCCACAATCCCCAACCTTTTATTCCGCGAGAATAATCCACGAGTGAAGACGTCCTCTGTCTTTTGTCGATACCTTCTCGCCTCTCTACCGTCTTCTCGATTCTCTCGAAATTTATTCCACTGGGCGTTCCCGAAACGGTTTCAACAGCGTTCGCCGCCCTGTTCCGCTGATCGCTCCGATGGAGGATCTCGTGCGATTTATTGGGCCGTCCTAGAGATGGTTGCCAATGAGTCTGTACATACAGTTGGGTTTATTTAGTAGGGCCGGTAAAAAAGTTTGCATCGAGTTGGCCGCAAAGTAATGTCGGATTATCGCAGTGGATGATTTTTTTGTTTATTTTGGAAGTTGAATATTTTTAAACCTAAGGTAAATTGTTGGAATGATAATAATATACCTTTTTTAATGTTAAATATTGAATAAAAAAATAATTTTTTATTAAATATAAAAATGATGATAATTATCTATAGGATTAAAGATGTAAAATACATTCTAATTTATATTTAGTTGTTTACCCTAGAAGTTTTTAAGGAACAATCACACGTCAGAATTTCTAACTGCCTATATTCCACAATCCACCAACCGCAAGAAACGCACGTAAACGTACTAATTATCAAATTAGTAAGGCTATTTAGTCATAGAATTAGGTACATTAATGAGGCAAAACACGATATTCTAATTCTATGCCATACACGTACCAACCCATAAACGATGTGGGCGGTAAGTAAATGACAATAACAAGAAACATCGTAAATTATCGCAGAAAAATGCAATGGGCCTCTCTTCAAGAACTTTCAGAGTTTATTTATAATGAAAAATTACCGTTTGACCTTAAGTGCAACATAACTTTTTCCTTAGGAGAGGAGAAAAAATATATAGATCTTGTATTCTCCTCTATAACAATTGTCAAAAGTGAAGTTAAGCAATGAAACCAGAGTACAGCTTAAATGATACAGTAGTTGACCACTTCAGACCTTCAGTTTAGGTAATCACTATCTAATAAGTAACTTTTGAATTTTATTATTTAAGTATCTGTTCGTATAAAAAGAAGTATTGTTCTATTGTAAAAATTGGAATTTCCACGTTTAATCAATTTAAAAATGCCGAGGTACTTTTTTATTCGTTACTCCATATTCTTTATCCAGACAATCAATTTGCCGTCTCTATTCCGTATCCTTTTCTTTTACCGCCAGTATATTTCCAGTTCCCCGTATATTCAGTCGTGTCGTCGATTCACGAATATCAAACGGGCGACAATGTCGGATACGGGGTCGTCGTCCCCTGCCGTTACCTACAGGCCCTACTCCCTCGAAACTGAAATAAAATTTTTACCGGCACAACGGCCCTGAGAAGCGCGTTTCCGCCGCGCGGAATTTATTGGGAACCAGCCCGAAGACGCCGGGGCGACCGTCCCGCGTTTTATTAAATTACCAGGGCTCGATTCCTGGTAAGCGATCCCGAAGTTATTGCGGTCAGACGGGGATTCAGCTGCCAAGAAAACGCACCCTCCACCGCCCACACAAGCTTCCAACTCCCCTTTAAGAGCTGCGGCTTCGCATCGATCACCGCGTTACGCACTCCGCCATGGAAGAATTCGAGAATGTTCCTCGGCGATTTCTCGAAGATTTTACGATCTCTATGAGTCTCAAACACGACAAGAAAAATGATTGATCAGCTGATCTATTTCCGATTTGTTTATTTACCCTTTGCGCTCCGTGCATTTCTGGCGCCTATAGGTAGTTTACTTCAGGGATTTTTAGGTAGTACAGTAGCTCCTCGGCACTGAACATTAAATATTGCATGAATTAATGGCCATATACGGCTGAAACAAATATCATTCGCTTCAGAATTCGAAGCTCTATGCTAAACCACATTAATAAGTCAATGTTACATCTGGGGATCTCTCCTTGTCAGTGCTGAAGACCCTTCGAACACTCGTCGAGGATTTAGTGTGTTTACTGTGTTATAAATCACAGTACGTGTTTATAAATCACAGTACTTTGGATGAAATGCAACTGTTTTTCGGAGAATCATTTTTTATTAAAACGATTGACGGTTGTACTTGCTCTGAATATCGTAACTGCACAAACTACCGGCAGTCTAAATCCTAAATTGATGAGATTGAACATTGTTTGACAATTCCTCGAGCTATTTGGAAGTCATAATATACCACATCGTTGATTTCGTCTTGACATTAGCTGTATATTGTGAAGTTATAAATATGTGATGCCATTTAATCAACCATCGATTACTTTCACAAAACCTTGAAGACAACAACAATAAAAAAATGTTTCATATCATCATATTTGTCTGCTTGAACAGTACAATTTTCCTCTCTAACATTTTCTTCTATCTTCAATCCTAACGGAGATATTTAGGTGTTTTGTTTTTCCTGAATCACCCGGTATACATTTCAGAACTGACAGAACAAATGTTTCCAAGTTGTTTATGGTAAAAGAGTCTCGGAGTGCAAAGGGTTAATTCGTTAGTTCGGTGGCGTGTTTCGTGGATAGTGGTGAACACGTTTCACTTATACGTCTCATTGAATGACCGCGTAAATAAAGGGAGAAACAGGGTAAATGATTATTTCGGTAGCGGTAGATCGACGACGACGACGATAACGACACGATTCGATAACGATGATCGTCATCCCCGGGAAATAATTATCCGCGGGACCGTGTCGAAATGGACAAACGGGTCCCATTGAGTATGGGAACTCTCGACCGTCCGCAGCCGTTCCTCCACTTAATTGGAGCGTGTATTAATTACGCTATTTCCGAGGAGGATTATATTATTTGGCTGGCAACATCCCGGAACGGGGGCTCCCAGTCTCCTGTTCCTATTTCCTCCTGGTTCCGCCGTTTGCTCGTCGGTTCGATCATCCGCGACACGGCATGCTAGTCTGATTTATCTAATCGTCTTGATTCCAGCAATTTTACCTGTTTCGTCCGTTGGATTGTGTTTTATGTTCGTTGTTTGGTAATTTTTCAGTGTTGGTGGAACCTCTGCTCTGTAGATATTAACCTTTTGCACTCCAAGACACTTTTATTATAAATTATTAGCATTTAAAAAAAATGAACATAATGGCGATTCGTACTAATTTATCTCAATTTCAAGGTGGTTGCTAGTGTTAATCTTTCCATTCCAAAATTATTGAACAATTACGAAAAAAATATTATTTTGTACTTTTGTCTATATTGCATGGCATACGAAATTATTCGCAAAAACATTTCAACATTTTGGAAGCGTTTCAGGCCATTTTCCATTCGTTGTCAATTTGGCCTACTTTTTTACTTTTATCACACATATGTAGAATAATTTACTTTAGAAAGTTGTTGTACATAATAAAACCAATCTTTCTTGACTTTGATCAGTAATCTTGATAAAACTTTTATCGATATTATTTGTTAATAAATAATGTTACTCCCCAACAATTCAATGTATTAAATTTTGATAAATGAAAATGATCAAAATCTACGAAAGCAGGATATAATCTTACAGTATTCACAGTCCACCATCATAATAATATAAGTGCCTGGATACCTATGAACGGTTGTGTAAGTAGGCATAAACTATAATCTATGTGTAACCCACGATGAAGATAAGGATACTAGTGGCAATTGTTGACAAATACATTAATAAAATAAAAGCTATCAAGTGAGGGTTAACAGCCGTGCCTGGGTCTGTTAAACCCGTCGATCTAACACATCAGCTTATAAATCTAATTTAACCCAGGAGCCGTTCAAATCAAGTCATATACAACGGGGACAGGTCCTCTTCAATGACTGTTTCAGAAAATACGTTCAAAAAGAAGGTATCATTGGGGTCTAAAACGGACCTAGGTACCGTTGTATGTACCAAGATTACAAAACATCTGTTTATCGAAGGTTAATAAAACTTACCGAATTCGCTATGTATTTTGTAGTAGGCGCGTGCAATTATACATACTCAGAGCAGCGCAGTCTCTGGAAAACCCACGGTGTCTATCCCTCAAGCTACGCCAGCATGTCGTCTGGTCATTAGATAAAGCCCTGGTCCG